ATCAGATTTGTAGGGGATATTATGAAGTTGACCCCAAACTGTGCAACCACCTTCTTCTATAATAGCTTTGGCGTCTTTCAAGGAAGTCATCTTGTGCTGAACCCTGATAGTTTTTGGAATGGAAGAAATATATTCAACAGTAGTAGGGGAAATCACTTCAAAAGCTTGGCAGGGAGTATCAATGAATTCTCCATCTATCTCCACGTACCAGAATGAATTAAGGTTGTTGACCGTATACTCCTTTTCTCCGCAGACGGTAACAATCTTCCCTTTCACAGGATATTTTAATTTCTGGTGCAAGGTAGAGGTAACATTGCCTTCCCTATGGATCCAGGGGCGTCCTAGTAGACAAGAATAAGCTGGCTGGATGTCCATTACATAGAAGGTGGATTTAAAGATTTGTGAACCCACTTTGATCGGGAGGTCCACTTCTCTATGTACCATTCTTTTTTATCCGTCAAAGGCTCGAACTATAATGTCTCTAGATTTCAGCACAACCCCTTCACAATCCAGTCTGTCAAGAGATCCCTTTGGCAAAACATTTAGGGAAGAGCCGATATCAACTAACACATGAGCCAAGGTAGTTCCCCTCCATTCAACAGAGACATACATGATCCTATTATGTTTTCTCCCCTCCGAAGTCAGGTCAGCATCTGAGAAACCTAATCCAATGCCAGTTGTTAAACTAGCCACATAACTTCCAAATTGATCGGCATAAATCTCTTGTGGTACATGAGCAGTCTTCAAGAATTTCATTAAAGTTTGTGCATGAGCTTCATAACACAATAGCAAGGATAACATAGAGATCTTGGATGGGGTCTTCCCTAGCTGTTAAACAATTTTGTAATCACTTCAGCGAATGATCTTTAAAACATCTTCCATTTCTTGTCCAAAGGTATCCTTGACTGTAGTTTCTTTTGGTGCCTTCATCTGGGCAGGCTCTATCATTGGCTCTTTACCTCAAGCTTTGACAGTTGTCTTGGTAACCGTGACTTGAACAGGTGGAGAGATTTCCTGGGAGAAAATCCTTCCACTTCTAGTAATTTTGCTAGTCGCCGCAATATTGTCAATGTTGGGATCAACTTCTTCATCATCTTCGTCAAACAACTCTTGTTTAATGCCATGATAATAGACGTAAGACCCATAATTCCATGGAACATCCTTCTCTGAGGAATATGGTACGGCCCCAGGTTTTGTAATGATCAAGGGAGCAGATTTTAGATTGACACTAATCCTTACAGGACCCTTGGAAGTGATCTTGAAATAAGTACCAGATATGACAGACAAATCTTGGCACAAATTCTCAGCATACGGAACTTTCTCAATCAAAATTATATGCTCATCCATCAGGAGTTGAATGCCTTCCTTCAATAATTCGCAACCATTGGGTTGAACTGCACAGTAATAACATTCTTTAGCACAGCCTGAAAAAAAACCGGCTTGTAGAAAATTCTTCTTGACTGTTGAGAGAGGAGTAACCACATCACTTACGGAAGTAACATACAAAACATCTTCAATAGCACTTATGCCTTTGTCATGCTTCGACATATGGGAACTAATCACGTTCGGAGTCTCAGGAGGGTCGAACTCAATTTCCTTGTTATCAATCATGTCTTGAACTTTGTTTTTTAGGGCCAAACAGTTGTTGGTGTCATGCCCAAGACTGTTCGAATGATAGGAACATCTTGCATTTGGATTGTACTTTGGAGAAGATGTGTTGGGATTAAGAGAAAGATCTCAGAGTGTTATGAGGTCAAGCTTTATCAAATGTTGTAACGCTTGAGCCAATGGCATATTAACCCTAGTAAATTTCCTCTTCAGGGCGTTTAACCTATGTTGGTTTCCTTGTTATTGTTGTTGAACAGACGCTGGGTTAGAGATCAACACTGCTCCTACAGACTGATGGGGATCATTCTTACGACGACTTTTATGGCCATAGACAACATTAGTTTCTTTCTTACTAATGAAAGGATTTTCACAACAATATAAGTTGTATCCATCTAAATCTTCCCGCTCTTAATACCACTTTCAACTCTTTCGCCAGTCAGAATTATCTTAAACCCTGATGAAGAACTCTGTATCAGCAGATTAAAGAATGGACCCGTCAGAGTGCCCATGAACATATTCACCAATTCCCGATCATTCAAAGAAGGTTGCACCCTTCCAGCTAGGTCCCTCCATTTTTGGGCATACTTCTTGAACCCTTCACTCGAGCCCATGGACATGTTTTGCAATTGTACACGAGTCGGTACCATGTCAGCGTTATATTGATACTGCTTGTAGAAAGACGCCGCTAAGTCTTCCCATGTGTGAATGTTGGTTCCCTCCAGCTGGGAGAACCACTCAAGTTGAGTAACAGATAAACTTTCTTGAAATAAATGGACCCATAATTTTCGGTCAGCAGTATGGTGTTGGATTTTTTGAACGTACAACTTCAGATGAAGTTTGGGACAAGAGACCCATTCATATTTGGCAAAGATAGGGACCTTGAATTTGTGAGGGATGACCACCCCTAGAATCAGACCCAGCTCCCCAAAACCCAATCTAGGAACTTTCTGGATTTCCACAACTTTGATTCGTTCTTCCAACTGCTTGTATTTGTCATCTACATGAAGGTACTGTTCATCGGAGTAGTATTCATCTTCATAACTGTAGCGGTGAAAATCGGAGATCAAGCTATTAATTAACTTGACTCGCAAAAGCAAGAGTCGCCACCGCGCTTTATTATTTCGAAGGGAAAAGGGAAAAGAGCGAAATAAAACCCTAAAATATGCAATGTAACATAATACTTAAAAGTAATAAAAAATACAATGCGTTTTTGAAAGAGATCGAGAGTTCGGGGGTTGGTTATACAGTGGGAAAGTATTAGCACCCAATGCATCTGCGGTACTCCGCAGGAACCTTTTGAAATATCTGTTTTTTGGTTTAAAATTGTTTGTTTGATTAAAATGATTCGTTTGGCTAAAAGATGGGTATGGACGAGATTTTTGAAGATACGACGACCTAGTGTCGAAGTTTTGACTTAAAAAGGTATGAGTTTGAAAATTGAATCTTTTGGGAAAATTATCTTAGGTTTAACAAAATAGTAAATAAACAAAAAAATGAAAAAGGGTATTCGCACGATCGGATGAGATGTATTTGATGACGTGAAGTCAACGAAGTTAAAATATTTCCCTTGGAATAGAAGCAAACAAATCAGAAAAAATAAGATGAACATCACAATATAAGTAATCAAGAATTCGCAAGAAAATAAATTTAAACAAACTGATTAAGAAAAAAACAATGAAATATTTAATTCTAAAGGACTAAGACGATTAAAAAAAGAAAACGAGAAGGTAACTAGTTATCTAAAGAGGATATGTAAATTACTAAATTAATTCTAAACAAAAATTAAGATTACGAAATTTCTGAATTTACACCTAAATTGCGTTAAAGCTCTAAGATTTATTAAAATTCTAAAATTACTAAATTTAATCTAAGTTGAATTAATTCTAAAGTTACTAAACCGTGTCTAATATAAACTAAGTTGATTTCAAAGTTACTAAATTAAAATTCTTGAATTATTAAATTGAATCTAAACTAAATCAAAGTTTTAACTAAATTCCTTATAGAATTACTAATTAAAATCTAAACCATATTAACAATAAAAGAGGTGTGTAACACAAATTCATCAATTTCATTACTAGTCAATCTACAACCTCTAATTTAGACACAAAACAAACTGAACAACACTTCAACAAGCAATCAACATCATCAGTCCATTATTAATTTTCAGACAATATCATTCAATCTCCATGACAACTAACAACAAATCTTCAATTAAAACCAATCAAAAAAAATTAATCAAGTAGAAATGATGAGGTTTACCAATTGGAGTGTGGCGATCGGAATAGTTTGGAGATGTGTCGATGCTGCTTCTGTTTCTGGCCTTCCAGCCACAAAATCTGACAGGTCTACTTCTTTCAACTGGCCCTTTAGTGAAGTAAGAATCGGCTGGGCAACCTCTGCCGCTTCTAATCCAAAACTTCTGTTGCTGAAGCATATTTTAGTGAAAGAATTCCCCGGTTCCGTTAACGGCCTTAAAAGTTCACGAGCTTCCTCTGCTTCAATGAAATCCCTTTTGCCTTTTGATATATCAAAAACAGATTCCCGAGGAGCAACAGTATCATCAGGCACCACCGCTTCATTGTCACTGTTCTTATTAGGTTCTCGTTTAAGCACATATAGGAGGAGCTTACTGCACTCTTTGGCATAAAGCTGGACTGCAGATCCTCCATCACCATCTGGCTCTTTCTCATAATGTAGGCTTGCAGTGGCAAAAGCCACGTCCTCGATTCTTTTTGCATTTTTCTTCAGCCTCTTCACGGTCCAAAATTGCATACTTCTGCGTGAAAATGGATCTTGTAGTAAGATTGATGATCAACTTTTCCACAAGTGTTTGTCTAGTGTTCTGACTAGGAGGCCATAATTTGATTGAAAATGGTCTGTTCTGAGAACCCAGCTCCATAGCAATGAAAAACCTGTAAGAAATTGATCTCGGTATGGATCCCCAGCATTCTCAACGTAACTGACTGGTACACCATGGGCACTAAAAAAAAATATCATAGCCTCCTTTGGCTCAGAAAAACTCTCTAGTTCTTTCTCAATTAAGTCAGCCATCGACTTATGATAACCTTTTCTTTGATACCAAGAGTTTATAATGGAAACAGGAAGCCTAGACAAATAAGAATCATCCCTGAACATTTGCTCCAGAACACTGATGCTTGACCCAGTAGTGGATATAGAAAATTGGGGATAAAGGGGTAACACCACGAGCCTTATTATTTTGTCCCTCTTAATTTGATGAACTGCTTCTTCTGTGAATGGGTACCAGTAGCCATCCCAACGTAGAGATTTGAAGAGAGACCCTTTGCTTCCAAAGCATTTTTAAGTGCAAGTGCCTGCTCATCTGTAATTTTGCGTAAAGGAGAGCCACCTCCAATAGAAGCATACCCTTCCTTTTATTTAGGAGCTCGGAGCGTAGATATCAATTTTGCCAATGGTCGCTGGAGAAAACGGAACAGCCTTGGGAGCCGAATGATATCAGGATCAGCAAACATATTAAACAGAAAAGGTTGAACATCGTCCAGCGTCTCTGGTCCACCTAGGTTGAGAAGCAACACACCAACTTTTTCTTCTGCAGCATGAGAAGAAGACTCTAAAGCAACTCCATTATAAGTGCTTGCATCCACAGAAGAAAATGCCCGACAAACTAAGCTTCTGTTACCAATGCTTCTATCCGCCAAACCAGGAGACAAAAACAACGATACTTGCGACGTAGCCTTGTGACAATCAGAGTGGCAAGTGGCACGATTAAGAATTTGAATATCAGAACGTGACGGTGAAAATCTGTGACGGTTGAGGTTAGGAAGAACAGCAGAATGTGAGAGAGACAGTGTTTAATGTTGCTGTTTTTGAAGAGATGAAAGGGAGTTTTGGGAGGAAGGTTGAGTGGTGGTGATTTACAGTGGAGTAGTGTTGTTGTTAAGGAGAAAGAAGGAGATTTTAATGACTGTGGGGTAATAAAAGGAAGCGGAAGGAGATGTTTGGGTGAAGGTGTTTGATGAGAGAATGGCGTTGCTTTCTGGTAGTGAGTGGTTGTGTGTTTTAGTTATGAGAGATGTTAGTTGTTCTGTGAGGAAGAATAGGTGCAGAGACTATGTACTGCATAATGGGATGGTGATGGGTGTATGTAGGCGGGAGTTTTTTTGATTGTGGGGGGAAAGATTGTGTGGATTGAAAAATAGGAGGGAAATATTTTTTGTGACTAAAAGCCTTTTAATGAAAAAATAAAAATAAAACTTGAAAGTATAAAAAAACTCAATTTAAAATGATTTTTTTGAATATTTTATGAATAAAAAATAAAGACACAAAATGACCGAAAACGATAAAAACCGGACGAAAATTTATCCGAAAAAATAAAATGAACATATTAAAATAATCTACATGTCACAAAGATTAAAGAAAAAATATTCAAGAAGTCAAAAATCAAAAATAAAATAATAATAAAAATATCAGACTAAACAGACGTTTAAGGTTAAAACGAGACTTCGAACTATACCGAAAAATAAAGCGAGCATACCGTCATAATCTACGCGAAGCGCAGATTCATAAAATGATCGGTAAAAGGTGAAAACTTGAAATATTTTCTCACTACTTTCCCGCATATTGTCGAATCACTTTTAACAGTCTGTCTATAAAACCAAAATATTTTTATTATCGACATATAAACAACTTGGAGCAATGCAACAGATGAGTAAATAGATAAAAATGCATGAAGCAAAATGCCGGGTATTTTACAACTGAAAGACGATGCAAACTTTGATTTAAACTGACTTTTCCTGGTCAACTTAAATACGACTAATGATGCAAAATATGATGAATGAAGATATTTACTAATGATCGTGACCAAATGACAAAATATGGTATGAAGGTGCGAATGAAAAAATTAGGGGCGAAAATTAAGGGTGCAACGGTGTGCCTTGATGAATCAGTCTTCGAGAATCCACAATCAACCGTACTTCTGGCTTGGGAGACTCAAAACCTTAATTGAGGCGCGACACCTGATGCTCTTGATTCAGACCTGTCTCTGCACATGACACAAAAGAAAACATGAACATACACCTTTGTATGCGATTAGAAATTAGTGACACATAGGCTCAAAATGTTCAAAACACTTGACAATCTTCACATAGTCAAAGCTCGAAGGAGAGAGGTTAAAACCAACCGTATTTCGTGACCTTGACTTTTGTATAAAAAACGCAAAAATGCAAGTGGGATCTTAGGTCAAAAATTGGGGTACAACAGCTGCCCCTATTTAAGTTTCTTCTATCTGGAGATATGAAGGTTGGGATCTTCATTTCGACGAGATTGAAGGGACTTAAATATAGAATACACAATTTTTGGCCTTAAGATACCGCAATTATGTTTATGATATGATATGAATGTGATGTTTTGAATCTTATGGGGAATGACGCCATATGAGACAAACTATGCTGGAGAAACCAAGCATATTATACAATAATCCCACAGAGGAAGAGGTTGTAACTCCACTGGGGAAACAAAGTCATAGACTTCAAATGAGAGACTCTTGAATGATTTACATCAGTGTTGATACCGGAAAAGAAATGATTTACATCAGTACGAAGACTGGAAAAAGAAATGATTTACATCAGCACTGTGACTGGAAGAGGAAATGATGGATATCAATACTGAGACTGGAAAATGATTGACATCAGCACTGTGGCTGGAAAACCAAATGATTGACATCAGCACTGTGGCTGGAGATAAACATCTCTGAATTCTGAATTTTACCAAGAACAGTAACACATTTCTTCTTTAACCAAGATATCGCTTGAAAAGGATAAAATAACAAACTTCCCCATGGGACTTTTCTGAAAGGGATGCCATTTGCTGAGTAGACATTATTGTTGGGGATACACAAGCTGCTCGAATAAAGAGGCCTCCACTTGCTATCTTTCAAAGGTGTCAAAAACATACAGGCTGCTCATGAAGAGACCGCCACTTGCTGTCTTCAAAGAATATTAAAGCACACAAGCTGCTCATGAAGAGTCTGCCACTTGTAGCCAAAAATCCACAAGCTGCTCATGAAGAAGCTGCCACTTGTTGCCAAAAATCCACAAGCTGCTCATAAAGAAGCTGCCACTTGCCGTTTTCCGTACAAGCTGCTCATGAAGAGACCGCCACTTGTCGTTTTCAAGGGAACAATAACACACAAGTTGCTCAAATAGATAAGCTGCCACTTGCTGTCTTCCAAAAATACTAACGTACAAGCTGCTCATGAAGAAGCTGCCACTTGCCGTTTTCCGTACAAGCTGCTCATGAAGAGACCGCCACTTGCCGTTTTCGAAAGGCGTTGATAACATACAAGTTATCCATGAAGAGACTGCCGCTTGCTGTTTTTTGAAAGTGTTAATAACATACAAGTTGTCCATGAAGAGACTGCCGCTTGCTGTTTTTGAAAGTGTTGATAACATACAAGTTATCCATGAAGAGACTGCCGCTTGCTGTTTTTGAAAGTGATAACATACAAGTTGTCCATGAAGAGACTGCCGCTTGCTGTTTTTGAAAGTGTTGATAACATACAAGTTGTCCATGAAGAGATTGCCGCTTGCTGTTTTTTTTCAAGGTATCAATAACATACAAGTTGCTCATGAAGAGACCGCCGCTTGTTGTTTTTTAAAGTTGTTAATAACATAACAAGTTGCCTCGTGAAGAGACTGCCGCTTGATGTTTTCGAAGGTGACAATAACACACAAGTTGCCTCATGAAGAGACTGCCGCTTGCTGTTTGTCAAGAGTATCCATAACACACAAGTTGTCTCATGAAGAAACGGCCGCTTGCTGTTTGTCAAGAGTATCCATAACACACAAGTTGCCTCATGAAGAGACTGCCGCTTGCTGTTTTCCAAAAAGATACCCATAAAATATCGTGAAGATATTGTTGGAGACGAGGATCAATAATTTCGTCAGGGATGGACAAACTGCTCATGAAGAGACCGCTATTTGTCGTAGAGAAATCAGAACTAATCAAACTGCTCAAATAAAGAGTCAGTCGCTTATTGTCATGTCGATATTCCGGAAGAATGTTATGATAACACCGCTGGGGAATAAAGTTCATCTTCAATGGCGAACCATGAATAAATCCTTCTTGAGGAGACCAGGTATTTACGTTTCAAAATAAATGCACTCTCCATCTAGGTTTCACAGCCTAGAGAGATCCACAGGGTATCGTTCACAAAAGACAAAGCTCAATCCAGGAATAAACTGGAGAGAAAACAGTCAAACAAGACTCCACCCAATGAGGAAACAACTCAAATGGGGATTTATCCTATCCCGAGATGGAAAAGGAAAGCTAAAGCAAGATTCTTCCACGAGAGTTAACTCAGTGGGGAATTAGAAAAGAGGCGCACTTTCTGCTTAAGTTGACACTCTATTTGGAAAGATCAAATACGCTATTTGAATAGACATAATCAAGATATACGAACTCAAAGACATCAACAAATACAAATGTGCGTGCAAGATGCAAGTGTGAATGAATATATGAATCTCATGTATATGTTTGACAAAACAGATAGAAGAGATAAGCTGGAGATGATAAGACATCACAGTACAACTCAACACACGGCTAATCTCAACAAGATGGGAATATTACTGGAGATAGAACACAGGCCATCATTGGAGCAAAGTCCTTTTACAAGACTTAAATCTCTGGAGAGGAAGATATTTTCAGGTAGAAAACCCAAAGTCTAGTCTTCTATTGCAAACAATCCATTGAAAGGATAACAACACGAACAATGCTTCAGCTGGAAAAAGTCATGCTTAGCTGGAGATACTGGGAACACCACCCTCTGATAATGTATGAAAAACATATCTTGACAAATCTGGATTGCCCCTGGGACCAATTTTGGATGCCCCAAGTTTACTGCTGATAAGCTGCGTGTTGCACGACAATTCTTGCGAATAGCTTCACTTCTAACATGCCCTAAGCTATCTGGTTGATGAGGAGAAATCGTCTCAAGAGGATTTTATCAAATCTCGACGTGATTTCCCCGGATTGACTGTAGTTGGCACAACAAAGTCTTCAAATTTTGCCCCAAAAGAGTAAACAAGTTGGGAAAGCATTAACTGGGAGAAGCAACATGTCCGTGCTTATGGTCTTCAGGTGACATGCCCCTGGATATGATTTTTTCTTGACGTGATCCGCCAATTACTCAACATAGTTTCAGGCCTTAAAAGAATAAACTCATCACTGGTGCTTATGTGAGCTTCCTCGATATCAAACAAATGTTTTGCAGTTAGAAAGAGTTTATAATGAGAATGAAAATTCTAATGCAACAGTTATGTAAGTCTTGAAGATTTTGAAAAATATCACACAAATTTTGCGAGTTAAAGCACCATTTATTTTTGTGTAGGAAAAACATATGATACCAACATAGCTATTTAGAACATTCATGGGAGTCAGGAACACTATCTCATTGAAGTATGCTTTCAAAATAACATCGCTTCAATTAGGACTTTTGAAGGTTGTAACGTGGCCTGGTTCATGGTTTTAGAAAAAAAAGATTTAAGGCTCAAAATATTTGGTGCCCACCCCCTTCATGATGTTCTCCAATCCTATGTTCAGTTAATTCAACATGAGTGTTCATCTCTCAAAAGGATTTTATGACGGTCAAGGAAACGACGAGGCTTTCGAAATAGAAACCACCCTCATGTCTTCGTGTTTGTAGTCACCAATTTGTTCTTTGCTGAGGACTTTTCTTTGCAGTCCTTTTCTTTGCAATTTTTATTTTCCCTAACTTTTGCCTGAATTAATTCTTTTGAATTGATAGTCCAGCGGGATGCCTTAATTTTGCCTAAGTCACACGTTTTCATGTATTTTTTTTTACTTAACAGGCTTTTTCTTTTTTCTCGATTTTTGACTTTTTGAACCAAATGTGTGACATTAGCTTGTATTTGCTTGTCGAGAGGACTGTGATTGCCTCGTTTCTTGATGAATGAGGGATAACATTGTGGTTCCACATCCTCTAGATTCATTATACATGAAGGATAGCCCTCGTAGTTTCTCTTCAAAAAACATCTTCCTTATGAATTTTGAACACTCAATCAGATTAACTGAAAACTACCCTGCCCCAAGTTAAAATTCAAGGTTTTTTCGTATAAAAAGGAACTTCTACTTCAAGGCTCAAAAGGGGTTAGCAAGGGATTATCTTCCTTATATCTCCGGTGTTTAGGGATTTGAAACAATGCCTGTACATCATCAGCAAGATTTTATCCGAAAGCAAACAACCAGAGATTTTGTATTCTTTAGATCATCATCCTCCCTTCAATCTCTGCCTAGGCAATAGAATGAGAAACAATTTGGTATCATAGTGAAAAAGCAATTTAAAATTTGAAAACAAATAGGAGTGAAACGAATGAATTTCTTCAAGACAAACATGCTCATTGTATTAAGATAATCATTCAAATGCAAACAAGTTCTTACATGCAAACAATGTTTTGATAAACAAGAAAAATTGCAACAAGCAGAAATAAGTTAATGATTGGGGAAGGCTTTCCATCTGGACTTGAATTACCGAAAACATCCTTCAAAACTCAAAGTCACCATCAATCGTGTTTACTCTTCGGCGCATGCTCGATCTGAACTTCAAAACCAACGTCCTTGAATGACAAGATACCACTTCTGACCAACTTCTGAACCTCAATCTTCAAAGCAAAGCAACCCTCCAAGTCGTGCCCAAGAGCATCTTGATGAAAAGTACAAGCCAAATCAGCTTTGTAGTACCAATGTATCTTCTCAGGAACCTTCGGTGGAGGTCGGGTCTGAACCAAATTCCTCTGCATCAGGATAGGGAACAACTCTGTATAGGTAATTGGAATTGGATCAAACTGGGTTTTCCTCTGATTAGGAACTTGCCGATTCTATTGATGAATAGGAGAAACATGATGATTCTGACGATGATTATTTCTTCCTTTGGTTCTCTTTTTGGAAAAATTATTATCAAACTTCTTCACACCATTAGTTGAGCTACCATCTTCATATGAACATCCCTTCCCAACATCTTCTTCTAGACGCAC